AAAAGTCCTCGTCCTTGAACATATGAGCTCCTCTTCATTGATTTGCTCAGCACAGCATAGCGGGTGTTTTTGTTCTTCCCATTCCTTCTGTAGAGACTTCAGCACTAGGCTTACATTCAGTGCTCAGACACTCAGGGTATCAGTTCTGTTCAGGCATCTGGGGAATGAACAGTTTTGGTGCCCACAGACGAGAAGCCTTGGTTCAGAGCCTCCTGTTGACTCTGTCTTGGTATTCAGGGGTCCTCGCTGCCTGGAGACAAAGCCCAGGTTGGCAGGGGAGGTGACAGTGAGCTCTGGCTGCAGGAAGGAAAAAACTGATGAGGGCCAATAGCCGAAAGAGTGAGAACTGCTGTATAGACATTGGAAATGCTGCTGGATGGAGGCATCACCTTCCCTGCTTTTTGTGATAGACAGTGTCACTGACTGGTGTCATTAATTGGGACTCACCTGGCTGCTTCTCACTTTTTTGTAAGTGTCAATTTAGCAGGATTAACCTGAGCCTTAGCGTGTTCTTGATGTAGTTTTGAATTGTGTTTATGTGGTGACACTTCTTATGCACGTTTTCCAAGCTTTCTGCATGTCTAGTTCATAATCCAGAGGGGAATATAACTATGAATACTGAAAGCTGACTTTGCAGAAAGCATGTTTCTTTTATCAGAGTTATGTTCCACTGATGCCAACATACCAAACTGTTAAAAACGCACCCTATTTAGTGACAGCAAAGTGATGTCCCAGCAAGCCTTTCTCTGGTAAGTATAATCTGTGTTTTTATTGTGAATAATTTCCCAAAATATTTTGGCAGTCTGCGTGGGGACACTGCTAAGCGACACTGACACACTTTTCCTGTTTGGAGTTGTCTTGTTCCTGTACAGTACATTTAGTCTAATCATCATATCCTGACAAAGCATGGCATGAATGTGAAACTGAGACAGAAATTATTTGGGTTATGAAAATGAACAGTCTTCTCAGCCAGAGATTTCCGGATGCTGATTATTTTCCACAAAATGTCTTTTATCATAGGGAAAACTGATGAAAATTTGTGTTTCAGTTGTAGGCACTAAACAGATATAATGGAGAGCTGATATATTAAGCCGGATTAAAATATTTTCTTATTTTTTAACTCCTGCAGTGGTCTGAAATTACTGGAAGAGCAAAGGTTTGGGAAAACCTTCAAAGCAAAACTATACAGTGAAAATTCATGTTCTTTGTATTTCTGAACTTTCCCGTGTTTAGTGAGAAGATAGGCAAGGAAATCTAGGTTTCTCTAAGAGGTGTAAGATTACAAAAAGTCACAGCAGTTGAATGACAGTGCTTTGGCAAGTTTTTATTAATTTGGGAGATGGTAAGAAGGTTTTACAACCAAATATTTCTGTAAGTGGATTGAATGGTAGCTGACCTTCTGTCCTTTTGGGTTGACCCACAACTTTTACCAATCCTGTGTGATGTATCCATCCAGTCCTGCAGACACGGAGCCAGTTTAAGGTTCTTTTGCCAGATGAAGTGTTAGTCACTCTGCTTCCCCTTGTGGGCACGTGCTCAGCTTTCCCAACAGCTGCTGGTGTGGGGCAGTTGCACATCTCTGTGGGGAGAAGCTGCCTGGAAATTATCATAGTAGTGGTGCAAGTATGACTTTTCTGAGGCATCTACACTGGAAGTATGTTTGTTACCTGTGGAAGTAGGGAGGGGGTGTTTGTTGGTGGAGACAGGCTGGGCCCTGTTAAGCTGTGCTCCTCCAGCAGCAGCTTCTGATGGAGTGAAGGTCAAGGTGATGCCTCTGCTGCTGTTCTCACCTCAGTGTGGGTCTCTGCTTGGTGTGAATGCACAAGATACAGGCAAGGAAAGGGAATAGATGGTGGCTTTGAGACAGGTTTTGCTTCCACAAGCACCCAAGGGGGCTGTTGTGAGCTGCCAGGAGGACTTTGTGCATGAGTTGCTCCCTGTGGAGCTCACATTACTGTTGCATGGGTTGTGAGCTGGGGCATGTTACAACCCCTCACTGCCTCCTCCTATAAAGTTTTCATGTCAGCTACTACTAAGCTCCAGCAGTCAGAGCTGTTAGGTCACTGCCAGCACGGGGTGACAAATAATTAAATGTTGTCTTTTTTTTTTCATTTACTTGTTCAAGTCCTCTGATATTTGAATGAGGTTAGTATGGCTATAGTTGGCCTTCTAGCAGAAGCTGAGAACTACCAGCTACACAGGACTAGGATGCAAGAGAGTATAATGTGGTGTGTAGGAGGAGGTATTTGATGAAAGGTACCTTTTGAGTTGTACTGGTGCTTAGGAACTGCTGCTTGAATGCATCACTCACTAACTGTAAGATTTTTTTCACTGTTGTTCCATCCTATGTCCATGCAAAGCTATTTGGCAAAGTGATATATCATATAATTAATTTATGTGGTAATGTCTGTGTATGACCAAAGACCTAATATTTTAAGATACAGTTTCAAAGCAAAGTACTTACTGATCAGATCCCAGAGTAAGGACACGGGTGTGTGTATCAAGATACTCATAATGCTGCATTTTACTCCTCTGAATTACTGATCTATCTATTAGCAGCCTATTTATGTTACAGTTTGGGGCACATGAGGAAGAATGTCAGTGGCTTGCCAAGTGAGTCAATTCAGTGTTTATAATTTCTTGGTGATCTGCCAGCTAAATGTCTGTCCAAGTTTAGTTTCTCATGTGATCAGGAAGTGATACAGGAGGATGCACTGAGGACTTCCCCGGCCGTCTCCCCTCAGCACCCTGACAGGAATGTGGCAATTGTCTTGTGCTTTAAAGAGGAAATTTTCAAAGGCATGCAGAACTAAATCTCATGTAGAAATCACTGAGATTCCCTCTGTCTGATGTTTTCCCTTTTCATTTCCTTTCAAGCTCAAATAATCACCTTTTTAAAAGCAACTACCCAATCCCTGAGCATGTGTCCTCTTAGGAAAGCTTGCTTACCTGATAACATTTACTCCCTGTTGCTTCCCTGTGTGTATTTTAGTGTCACTATTTAATTTTCCCTGGGATTATTAGTGTGGAATAAAGTATTGAACTTGCTTCAATGGGCTGAATTGGCATCATACCTTTGAAACAATCTATGAGTGCTTCTGCAATACTGGAAATGGCAAACATCAACTTAAATATAATTATTGCTTAAAGTTTCAGATTCCTTTTACATGGTTTGGAAAGAAGTAAGGGGGATCATTCAAGTTGATCTCATGGGGAGATTCCTGGGAATTGTTGTGCATCTTCCTGCAAATGTGACATGAGGGGCTTGGAGGCTTATGTTTATTCTTTAATTTTCAAAGATTAAAATTAGGTGCAATGAGTTGTTTTTTTCATGCTCAAGTGTGTACATATACCCATGTGGGACCAGCAACCAGAAAATAATATTTTCATACAGTAACTTAATGGTCATGTGGTTTTGAAAAATCAACTTTTTATGGTTTTTTATTTTTTTGAAAGAAAATTTTCACATAACATCAATGTGGCTTCATCTGCATTTAATACATGCAGAAAACACTTGACATGGGGTTTGCATTGTAAATAATGTAAGGACTTAATTCACTTCTCAAATGCAGTTGGATGGTAAATTTTAAGGGTTTTTTTCCTAGACTTCTCTTTTTATTTCCTTCTATTGTGAAGGAAATGTTTCTCATCTTCTTTCAGAAATGATATTTGGAATGAGACAGTGTGTCTGGGGTAGAAGTTCTTTAAAAGGAAGAATGTGGACTTGTGACTTACAAAGTAAAGATTTTTTTTGCAGGACATCAATGCCCATCTGCTGTTTGGTACCTTATGACAACCAACTGTCACCTAGGCTCTTCAGCCTCTTGAGAGTCTGGAGATTTTTTGCTTCTTCAAACACTTCATCACTCTGTCAGTAAATAAACAGAGTGGGTCTACTTGGCTATATTTGAGCATTCCTGGACTTGGCACTTGTTTTGCTAAAAGACAGAAATATGTCTGCTGGTGCAGATACTTTATTTGATCCCATGTCAATCACCAATTTGAGTTTATAGGATTTTGTCTTCATTTTTATTCCTTTAGTACTTTTAGAGGTCCTTGGTTTACCTTTGCACTCTAGGTGAGCACTAAAATGTGAATGAATCTAACTTATCCAGGTTGCAAAGAATCTTTCCTGGGTGCTTTTTTACCATGTTCATCTGTGGAAGCAAAGAAACAATACATTTGAAAATCATGTATTTTGCTTAATGTGTCTTACTGTGTTCCAACCCTTCTCATTAGATGAATGCTAAAATATAGAAACTGTTGATTAGCCTGCTGCCCATTAGCATGAGGAACATCCCCATTAGAAACATCTGCCAAAGAACTGAATCTTCACTTGTCCTTCGATGGCTCCTCTTCCTCATTCCCTCTCTTTTTATTTTTTTTTAGCTCCTTTATTAAAAAAACCCTAAAGATGAATTTTGGGTTTTTTTGGTTTTTTTTTTTTTCCTTTTATTTAAGGCCAGGGTAAGTTAAAAAGAAACATTTAAATTTTGCAGCCATTTGCTGTTGGCTGCATTTGTTTTAATAAGGGCAGAGAAGCTGAAGCCTCTGTCGCCAGGGCCCAAGGAAGAGAACGCCTGGAAATAAAAGGAGATTGTGACACTGCATGTTTCTGAGGCCGTGAAACAAAAGCTTAAGTGAAAGTGAAGCTACTGCTGAACATAAAGTTTATCACTGTTGCTGGGGAATAGTGTCTGCCTGCTTCAGGCCCGCTGTGAACTTGGCCAGACAAAATAGGTGGAAGGGCAGAAGGTGGGGAATGTCTGCATCCTATTATGAATTGGAGGAAATGACTGTCTGCGCTCCGTGCGCTGGTGGGCTCCGCATCCTGCTGGCAGGCTGGTGAGCACTGTGGGACACTGAACCAGGAGTGGGGAACTGTCAGCTCTGGGGTTTAAAATAACTACTAGGGATGAGAAGAAGCTCCTTAAAAACATACCGTGGGTTTTCTGTTGGCTTTCTTAAACTAACTGGAAACTTTCTGCTTTTTTTTCCAGGGGCATTTTTTCTTGGAAAACATTGCTGCTAAAAAGCTCCAAACAGGAGGAGTAAATCCAGTCAGCTTGTCAGACCGCTGGCTCAGTGTAACGGTGCTTTCATGAGGTAACGTTGGGCCAAAGTCAACTTTTCTTTTCTCCTTTGTAAACCTGCAGCCAAGCAATGGGCCAGAAAATCTCAGGGAGCATAAAGTCTGTGGATGTGAGGGAGCCCCCTTATAGACCTGTCAAACGAGAGCTGAGAGGCCCGGATTTTTGCAAGCCAGCGCGCCTGGACATGCTGTTGGATATGCCCCCTGCCAAGCTGGAGGTCCAGTACAAACACGCTTGGAACAACGAAGATCGCTCCTTAAATATATTTGTAAAGGAAGACGATAAACTGACTTTTCACAGACACCCGGTTGCCCAAAGCACGGATTGTATCCGGGGCAAGGTCGGCTACACGAGGGGCCTCCATGTCTGGCAGATCCACTGGCCCACGAGGCAGCGGGGAACTCATGCCGTGGTGGGCGTCTCCACGGCCGAAGCCCCGCTGCACTCGGTGGGATACACGTCCTTGGTCGGTAGCAACAGTGAGTCATGGGGCTGGGATCTGGGGCGCAACAAACTCTACCACAACTGCAAAAACCAGCCTGGCGTCACGTATCCTGTCTTTTTGGAACCAGATGAGTCTTTTGTACTCCCAGACTCGTTACTGGTGGTTTTGGATATGGATGAAGGGACGCTTAGCTTCATGGTGGATGGACAGTATCTTGGAGTGGCCTTCAGGGGACTAAAAGGGAAAAAACTTTACCCCATAGTCAGTGCAGTTTGGGGGCACTGTGAAATTACAATGAGATACATCAATGGACTTGACCGTAAGTGTTACAGAATTTCTTCATTACACTTTCAACTTTTCTCTTGTAGGAGTTTTTCTTTTATCCTGTTGCTGTGGACAGTGTGTTGGGGGGAGCGGACTGTTCACTCTGAGTAGACTGCATCCTGTCTGACTGCTCAAAACTAATATATCTCAGTTGTGGCTTGTAATGATGGTGTGGATTGTATCTGCTTGCCTTTTTGGCAAGCAGAGTGGCAAGAAATCTGTGTCCAAGGAAAGTGAACAGGCTGAGAAAAAGATACTGAGAAACTTCCTGGGTATATTTAACAGTAACACTCTTGTTTACTGGAGGATATGTTTTAAATCTGTGGTTTCCAAATAGGATTTGTGGATCCTGTAAAAATTTCCTGTAGTAGTGGAAACTCTTACATGCTGTTCATAAACATACTTGAATGCTGGCAGTAGGCTTGCTTTCTGTAGTTGCCTTCCCAGGACCCTCAGAAGCAGCTGTGGATCCCCAAGAATCTGGGAGCTCAGGTCAAATACCGCTTTCAGCAGTTTTTCTGAAAGAGAGCTCTGTTCCTTAGTTCATTTCAGGAGGTGCTCTCTCAGGGTATTTTCTTCTCCAACAATCCGTGTTTTTGGATAAGCAAGCATGAGCTATTTCTGATCTAAAAGGGTAATATGAAATTAAATTGATACGTAGTAAGGAGCAGCATGTTGCTGCTGTGACCTTGGAGTAGTGACCTGCCAGAAGATGAGTTGGAGAACTGGATCTTGTCCAGTTCTTGTCCCTGCTCAGGAAGACGAGTGCTCTGCCAGGGCCAAATGCAGCACAGTGTGCGCTCGGGCAAGCCCAGTTATTTACCATCAGCATCTTGGCTGCTGGGTGTTGGGGAATGGAAGGCTGGACAAGGTATTAAGTGGAACTTTGTTCTTGTTTAAGATTGTATTATATGAGTTGTAGGAGGTACTACAAATATAAATATGTAGATTTACAAAAAATGGGCAAAATTTTAATGTTTTTTGGCTTTTTGAACGGGACTTGGTTTTGTAAAAAGAGAATGTACCTGCCTTTCAATTAGTGATTTCTAAAAGAATTCACTAGTCTTTTCAGTAAGGATGGAGTGGTCTAATTTTTTTTTTTGGTCAAAAATTAATTCTCTGCTCATTAGTCTTACATCTGACATACCAAGTATAAACATAATTAAATAATTTGACCCTGCTAAAGATTATCTTTTCATAAACATCTGTACCATGCACTGGGGGAAAGACTTTTTATCCACAGAAGCCCTGCAGGTTATTACAGCTAGATGTTAAATGGCAGCTTCCCAAGTGCTTTCATACAGGGGAATATCCGAGGATTGTAAGTATTTTGCAATTACTCAGACATTGCAGTGTGACGTGCTGACAATCTTTTCTTTGGATGGTGGGGGAGAGAGACTTTTTTGCAAGCTGAATATTTGTTTGCAAAAGCAGTTTTTATAATACTGTGAATATCTGCCAAACTAAGCAAAGTACAGCTCAGCTTGGTCCACCACGTCCACACAGGATTCTGCATTCCTTTTGTAGCCTTCATAGGGCTGCTCAAGGGAGTTTTAGAAAGATGAAGACACAGGAGGAAGATGTGAACGAGTTTGGTAGAAATTATAAAATAAAAGGGGCGAAGTAGAGAAGGGATAGCTGTGGTCTGTGTGATGACAGAGAGAAAGATTCCCATCTGATTTCTTGTCGGATAATTTTGTTGGAAGAGGCGGGATAGCTTCCTAAACTATCCCTGAGAAAGTCAAAGTCTCTATTTTTTTTAAACACATCAAGTCCAACGCTTCATTTTTTTTTGAATTTTTTTTTAAATCCAGTCTCCAGAAAAATCCAGTCCGGGTTTTCCCCCATTCCACACTCCGGGAAGTCCAGTCCAGGTTTTCCCCCATTTTTGGCAGAAATCCATAAAACGTGAACCCATGGATTAAAGTAAACTTGTAAACACAACTTTTATGTAGGCCTGAGTGTTAATCTGATCACGTGAAAAGGAAGTTTAAAGCCACTTTGCCATAGGGCATTTTGACATCCTGGAATCACATCATTTGTTGTCACCTGTTCACTGATCCATTACTGTCCTGCAACAAAAACAACATTCAAGAAACTAAATTAGCTTGTTTAGCTGGTGCTCCAAAGCAAACACTGTCTCTTCTCTGATGAAGGTGTTTCTATCCAGCCTGCCCTTGTGTAACCATGAGTTTAGTCATGGTACTCTTCATGTTTGCTCTCATTGCACTTTTAATTACAGGTTTTTAGAATTTCTTGTTCTTGTGAAAATTGGAGTAGATATTGAAGAACATTTGTGTTCACAAATTTAAATACATTTGAAAATATTTTTGTGTGAGGGAGTTGTTATTGTTTGATTCCTTTTTAACCTTACCAATTATCTTTTTTCAATCTTTCCCTGCCCCCCTCTTCCCTGGAAGTATCTCACAGCTCTGAGTGCAGCTTTTAGCAGATCTGGCCATAGGGTCTTAGCTGTTTTTGGAACTGCTGTCAAGCAGTGCCTTGTAACTTGCTAGTTAGTGATTGATTGTTGCTGCTCAGAATGCATACCACAGCTTGTGATGGCTGTTTGTGAGGTGTGTCCTACAGAGCAAATGGAGACCTCAACGGCAGGGATTTTTAGTGTTTTCAATACTTGCCGCTTAAATAGAAGACCTCTGAATACTTTAAAGGCCCATGTATTTCAGTTGCCTGGCAAAGAGTGAAAGGCTTGCAGGAATGGAAGAGTGAAAGGCTCAAATGATGGGCTTGTGCAGCTGCAATGAACTCAAACATATGTCATAGTGGTAGAGAGATGATGCAGACTTTGAAGTGTCTTAATTACTGCATAGATGGCAGATTCACAGAAGGATAAGGCTGCAGGTCAAAGATCAAGAATCTGTGTGCCCTCTGATCTCTGGATATTGCTCCTAGAATAATGCTGTAGTTAAAATAAATTGTAGTTCTTCCAGCTGCATCTGATACCCAGAGTATTCTGCCTCAGAAACTACTTTGAGCATCACATGATGATGTTCTGTGACTCTCACAAGATGGTTTTTTTGCTCACATTTGAGTGACTTGGAGTTGCACATATTTGACAGGGTTTGGGAGGGAAGGCAGGGGGACAGGATGGAGAATGCTCATCATAAGCACATTGAGTTCTTCCCAGGACAAACTTCTTTGATCAAATGCTATCAGTATTTACCACACTGTGTGTAAGTTGGACAGAATTTTAAATCAGCCTTCTGACTCACTGCCTCTTGCAATAATTAAAACCCCAAATAACATAAATGCAATATATGCTATTTTTGTTATTTTTCCTATCAGGGTATGCGCTTGTTTACAAAAAGCTGGTTAATTTATATCTCGTGTCTGATGAGGAGTCCTGAAGACTATTTATAGACTGAAACAGAGAAATAGCAAAACACTTCTTTGTAAATGTACTTTGCAGATCATGACTGAACCATTAGTACTTGTGTGTTTAAACAAAGTGTTGGGAGGACAATCAATAAAATTGTACTGTGGTGGAAAACTTGGGCACTGAGTAGGTGAGCTGAACTCATTGCAGTTCTTGCATTAAGCCTTGCATAGCCCTTACACAATTTTGAAAATAACTGTTGAGCTCAGAGAGCTGGAAGCATTTGTCTTGGAAGAGAGGACTTTACTTACAAGTGTAATTTATGGAAAACATTTGTCTGTACCTGTTCATATTTTAACCTACAGATCCTTCTTTGCAGTATTTGGCCCTCGCGGGTGAGGGTCCCTGGGCTCTCTGTCTGGTTACTGACCACTGCCCTGCAACACATCCCCTGTCTTTAACACCTCTATTTACATCCCTAATGAAACAGAAGTATTATTCAAAGAATGTGCTTCGAACTTACCTGCCATGAGTGAACAGGTGGACTAAAGGGATCATCCAAACAGAAATCTGGGCTCCTGTTTTCCTGTGCCAGCAGCCTGCTCGCTGTGCCTGCAGGTGAGCTGGTGCAAGCGTAAAGCTGAGGATGTTTGGAGAACATTGGCTCAGTTTTGGGGAGTTGTAACTGTTCCTTGTAGAGGCCCAGGAACAGTGGGAAGGAGGAGGGAGCTCGAGGCACATTCTCTCTGTTTGCTGATGCAGCTACAAAAGTTTTGGCACGTGGGGTCTGTTCACACCTTTTGCTCTCAGCTGTGCAGAACAACACAGTGTAACCACTGAATCTCTCTCAGGCCTTAGGCTGATGTGTCTAGAATTTTGAAATAAGGTTGATGTTTCTAAGCCAAAACGACAACTTTGGAGCTATGGAGCTAAGCACAACTTCTTTCCTCTATCCTACTGTTCTCAGTTTATTTTAATTTGCATTGATCTGTGTCTAACATACCACAATTGCTAATTATAAATATGCACTCTTCCCCTTGGAGGCCTTTTTGCCATAAAGAAATCTAAGTCTAAATTGTGGAATTGTTAACTGCCAGGAGAAATATATAATCTCTCTTCAGACTCTGGGTTTTCCCCCAAATGGTTTTCAATTAAAATTTTCAAATGGATTTTTTTTTTGTTTATCTAAACCTGTTTTATGCTGTTTATATACTACATGTCTCTGGAGGTTGCAACAGAAATAATGTACTCTGAAAATCCAGTATTGCTAAACCTTAGAAAGGGTTTTCCCTACAGACATGCAGTCAGAGGATGAAGCAGCAGTAATTAAGCAGCTAATGTTGTGAAGAAGCAATCTTCAGCTTTTGAGATGATTTAACAGGAACCAGCATTTTCAGTTCCTGCTTCAGGAGTCAAATAGGTATTGTTGGGGGGTTTTTGTCTTCTTCCACATGCACCTCCCTTCCCAGGTTTAAATGCATTTTTTTGTCCTTTAATCCTAATTTGTTGACACTTTCTAATTAATTCTCAGCCTTTTCTCAGCAGGTTGAAACCACTGTATTGTCAGCAGAATATGCCACTCAGTTAATTGGCTTTTTGCCCCAGCCACCCCCTGCCCCTTCTTGGTGGTCTCTGCATTATATCTTTCTCCCAGATAC